GATGTGTGGACCGATGACAGTGGATCTTGGGAATCATTTAATCAAGCTTTCAAACCTGCTGCACCTGGAAGTAGGATTTTGGTGACTACACGAAATGATAGAGTTGCGATGACTATGAAATCCTTTCGTGACTTTCCTCTAGAGCAATTGAGTGAAAATGTATGTTGGAAAATACTTAACCAGGAAGCGTTTGTGGGATGGGGTGATGAGCAATGTAAAAATTTAGAGGACATCGGAAAAAATATTGCAAAAAAATGCAGTGGATTGCCATTGGCTGCAAAAACGCTCGGAAGCATGCTACGTTCAAAGAAAACAAGAGAAGGGTGGACAAACATCTTGAACAGTGAGATATGGGAATTAGATTTGGAAGCTGTTTTTGCTCCTTTGTTGTTGAGTTATTTTGACTTACCCTCAGCTGTAAGACGGTGCTTTTTGTATTGCTCTACCTTCCCTAAAGGTATTGAGATCAATAGAGATGTCCTAATTTATCAGTGGATGGCACAAGGTTATTTAAATTCTAGTCAGAATCCTGAGATGGAAATTACTGGGGTTGACTACTTTGAGTGCTTGGCGGCACGGTCTTTCTTTCAAGATTTCCAAAAACTTGAAGATGGTAGCATACGGGCCTGTAGGATTCATGACATAGTTCTTGACTTTGCTCGTTTCCTTATGGGAGATGGGGAATTTGTGGTTAAAGAGGTTCATCCTGAAGATAATTTAAGAATAAAGCTTTCTTCAGAAAAAACTCACCATCTGTTGGTAATACTGGCAGAAAATGCAGGCCTTCCTACTTCACTTGTTGGTGCAGAAAAATTGCAGAGCTTATCCATCTTCGGAAGTGATTATGCAGTTGGAGGTGAAACTGGTAACTCACTTATTCAGCCAAAACATCTGCGTTCGTTGATTGTCTGTGGGGTTAAGATTGAAGGACTTCCTGAAGAAGTAGGCAAATTGATGCATCTGAAACTGCTTGATTTGTCTGGTAGTCAGTTAGGAAGATTGCCTAAAGCAATATGCCGATTATTTAATTTGCAATCTTTGATTCTACGAAAATGTTCTCTGAAGAGACTGCCGGATGGGATAGAGAAATTGGTCAACTTAAGGTATCTTGACACAACTGATTGTTTTCTTTTAACTTACTGTCCCAAAGGAATTGGGAGATTAACTTCACTTAGAGAGTTGGTGGGGATTGTGGTTAGCTGTGATCACAATGATGATAAAGAATTTAGCTTGGGGGATTTGGAAAACTTGTGCCACCTTCGTATTCTGGCATTGATAGTTGAACGTCAACAGATTGATGCTAATGAAGTCAGACGTGCGACGCTGCAAAGTAAGATACATCTCAAGAAATTAAATTTAGATGGTCCGTGGAAGTCCCGAACGGAAGAAGACTATGTTATCAATGTCTTAAGCCCACCTTCACACACAAATGTGACATTTTCTGGAAATTTTTATTTAAGAAGCTTGAAACAATGTAAGCCCACAATATATTGTTTCTAGTCTTAATTTGAGGGGAAATGAACGGCTGTTTCTCCTCTCCAAATCACACTTGACTAATTTTTGCATTTTTTTTGCAGTGGTGTTCGTATCTCTGAAACTTCGTTAAGGATTGAACCTGAGCAAGCTACTTCTGATGGGGAAACCGTCTAAATATTGTGTGTTTTTTCATTTTTTTCCTTCCTAAACAACAATTAGTCTTGTGCGTTCTACAGCTGTTGATCAAATTATCCTCATTTTATGTATTTTCCATGTTTCTTTGGTGGAGCAGTGAACAATTCAGAACATATAATCTTGTCATTGATACTTTATGATCAAATTCCTATAATTTCCTTCTTTGGAAAACCCGTTGTTGATAATTAAAAAATAAATGACAACATATTCTGTTTTTGTTTTCATCAGCATACAATGCATTTGTACAAATTAGGAAGTCCTATAAAAATCTTCAATGGTGTAGAGTGTTGCTTATGAAGCTAAGTTCAAGCCATCGTCACCAGAACCTGCACCTTTACTTGGCCAACGAGGCTAGGTGCATCATAAACTAATAAGCTCTTTTTATATGATAACTCGGAGCTTTCTTTTTCTGATCATTTTTTGATTAAATTCAACCTGCCATCACACAAAGGCGGGAATATAGTGATTGTGGCCGTGTCTTTGACACCCTACATGCCTCCAATGCAATCATCAGCGTCAGGCTGAGGGCAACCTGTCTACACTACTGACTACAACCTTGCTAGCCTCATGTTAAAATAAAAAAGGGCATTGTTCTTTTTCCTAGTCACGAAATGTCTAAAAAGCTGAAGCCATTTTTACCGAGTTCCTGTACTGTGTTGATAGTCCAAGTCCATTGATGGCCACAGCATGAATTAGATATCACAATAAATCAAAACATTGAAGGGCTTTTGCACAATCTGTGAAATCTTTGAATTGACAATTTAATTTGGTTAACAAGCCCAATTCTTACCAAAACTCACTATGACTATTGTAGTTGGAAGCACAAGTTATACTTGTTTACTTCCCATTAGCAAAGGTTCAAGTCTAGGTAGCATCACCCAAAATACAGAACAGAAAACACTTGCAGAAAATATAGAACTCTGAGCCAGTGTACCATGTTGAATACAATGGAGAATAAGACCTGTTCCTAATGATCAAGATGAAGGCCTTCAGTCTTCCCTAACATAAATTGCTTAGTCCCCAAGCTCTTCTTCAATTCAAAGCAACTGCAAAAACAAAAAAATTGGGCCACTAATTTCAGATATTCTTCAGTTTTCACTTTAATCATGATTCATGAGAAGCTGAAAAGGGATTGGTTCTAACTTCTAAAAGAGAAGAAAATGATTAGGAAACAGGAAGCAGAGCAACTGCATTGTAAACTCATTGGAATTTGAAAGCACTGCTCTGGCATACAGATTGTCTGATGTGAAGATGTCAAAGGTTTTATGGGCATAACAAAATAATTGGTTATAGAAACCACTCCTAGGCAAAGTAGAAAGGCAAAACCAATGTCAATGCTATTATATAAATTAATATATAGATGTTACCAAATCAATCTGGTCTTTGGAATGCTCCAGTGGTGGTAGGTATAGAGTTGCATAAAACAAAATCAAGAAAAAGGCAAATAAAGCGTGATTTAAAAAGAAAACCTGGTTGTATTTTGCCAGCCGCTCCCCTCTACAAGGAGTACCAGCCTTGAACTGACTTGCACCAAGGCCAACAGCCAAATCGGCTATAAAGGAATCTTCAGTTTCCCTCCATCAATGTGATGTCACCACTCCCCAGTGAGCATTCTTTGCTAGTTTTACCACTTCAATAGCCTCTGTCACAGTTCCAATCTGATTTATCTGTTTTAGAACAATATATAACTATTAGACAAATTTTTAAATGGTGAATCTGAAGATTCTGAACTTTCAATTTTCAAACATAATTTATCTTCACATAAATACATTCATTTCTTCCTCCAACACCTAATTATATTGCTGACTTTTTATAACAAAGATAATATCGTAGCCACCTGAAGATCCTAACGATGACATAAAAGAACATTTGTATTGAATCAAAAAATTTAGTTACCCTGAGAATAAGAGAATTGCAAGCAGATTCTTGAATTGCTTTTTCAATTCTTTTTAAATTTGAATTCAACAAGTCATCCCCAACCACTTGCAAAGCGACCAATCATAATAAGCCTTGGTCAAGTATATAAAGGAAAGACATGATATCTGAAACTCAAGAAGATACATGCAGAGCTCTAGATTAACTTAATTTGTATCAATCAGGTCTTGTTAACACCCATTGGCAGCAAAATTAAACTTGCTTATTTGTTTTAATGATTCTAGCAGACAAGCTTAGAAGATAACTAATCCATAGAATTTACCATTCACAGTTTGAACGATAAAATAGTTGTTCAAAGATGTATTTTTGGAGGTAGATATGCTACATAAGCCTCCAAAAGGTGGTCTGAGTAACTCTGTTAATGCTTTATTAAGTCCTGGGTTAACAGTGGCCCCAAGAATGCATTCAAATTCATAAGCAAAATGTCAGTAGTAAGTTAAAACAAAACAAACCTAACAAAGTCCAAGAGCACAAAAAAACTTGTTATGTTCCCAGTCTTCCTTATCAAATGGATCTTCAATTGACACTATGGGGTAATCTATGATGCCAAAGAAGAAAAAGGAAGGCAGAAACATAAAATCATGGTTGAGAGAATGAACCAGAAAAAGGAAAATAAAAGCCATTAATGAAAAATTGACATACCACCACACAGTTCTTTGTACATCTGTATCATAACTTCTCCTGACTTGAAATTTTGCCCAGACCTATATGTAGATTTAAACTCTTAACCATACTTTGTAGCTTTATCAACAAGAATGAAAAAGAAAACCCAGTTGTTATAAGCAAGCAATGTCCGTGCAAGAAAGAACTTTGCAGCATTCAAAGTTGCACATAAATGCAAAAGTAACATATAATGGAGACCAGGGCAGAAGATCCTCTCCCCTTAATAATTAATAGTTTATGTTCATCAGCTGTTGCAGGATGACAAAAAGCACTTCTCAAATAACAGCTAAAAATACTATAGAAGTTTTCTCCAATGCTCCATCCCCTTTCTCACATGCTTCAATTGCTAATTTGACTAATTTTGGGGGAAATTATGCATCATCACCTATGCAGAACTCAGTAGCAGCAACATCAGTCTCTATCTTTATTCTGTCATTAAAAGCTGTTCAGCCCTAAATCTTGATTCGTTTACATTGCAAAGTCTTCTGGAAAGAATTTGCAAAGATATTAAGGGGAAGAAGGTTTTTCTTGTTCTGGATGATGTGTGGACCGATGACAGTGAATCTTGGGAATCATTTAATCAAGCTTTCAAACCTGCTGCACCTGGAAGTAGGATTTTGGTGACTACACGAAAGGATATAGTAGTAAAGACCATGAAATCCTTTCGTGTCTTTCCCCTTGAGCAATTGAGTGAAGATGTATGTTGGAAAATACTCAGCCCGGAAGCGTTTGTGGGAAGGGGTGATGAACAATGTAAAAATTTAGAGGACATCGGAAAAAATATTGCAAAAAAATGTAGTGGATTGCCATTGGCTGCAAAAAATCTCGGAAGCATGCTGCGTTCCAAGAAAACAAAAGAAGAGTGGACAAACATCTTGAACAGTGAGATATGGAAATTAAATTTGGAAGCTGTTTTTGCTCCTTTGTTGTTGAGTTATTTTGATTTACCCTCAGCTGTAAGACGGTGCTTTTTGTATTGCTCTACCTTCCCTAAAGGTGTTGTGATCGAAAGAGATGTCCTGATTTATCAGTGGATGGCACAAGGTTATATAAATTCTAGTCAGAATCCTGAGATGGAAATTACTGGGGTTGAGTACTTTGAGTGCCTGGCGGCACGGTCTTTCTTTCAAGATCTTGAAACACATAAAGATGGTAGCATAAGGGCATGTAAGATTCATGACATAGTACTTGACTTTGCTGGTTTCCTTATGGGAAATGAATTTGTGGTGAAAGATGTTCATCCTAATGATGATAATATAAGAATAGAGCTTTCTTCAGAGAAAACTCGCCATCTGTCGGTAGTACTGGCAGAAAATTCATGCTTTCCTACTTCACTCGTTGGTGCAGAAAAGTTGCGGAGCTTATCAATCTTCAAGAGTCATCATGCAGAAGAAGATGAAACCGGTAACTTATTTATTCAACCAAAACATCTGCGTTCCTTGATTTTCTGTGGTGGTAATATTAATGGATTTCCTGAAGAAGTAGGCAAATTGATGCATCTGAAACTGCTTGATTTGTCTTGTAGTAAGTTAAAAAGATTGCCTGAAGCAATATGCCGATTATTTAATTTGCAATCTTTGATTCTACGAGAATGTTCTTTGGAGAGACTGCCGGATGAGATAGAGAAATTGCTCAACTTATGGTATCTTGACACAACTGGTTGTGATTTTACTTACTATCCCAAAGGAATTGGGAGATTAACTTCACTTAGAGAGTTGGTGGGAATTGTGGTTCGCTGTGATCACAATGATGATAAAAAATTTAGCTTGGGGGATTTGGAAAACTTGTGCCACCTTCGTTTTCTGGCATTGAAAGTTGAAGATGGTCAGATTGATATTGATGCTAATGAAGCCAGACGTGCGAATCTGGAAGGAAAGATAAATCTCAAGGATTTAAAGTTATATGGTCCGTGGATGCAGGAAATGGAAGTGGATAATGTTATCAAAGTGTTAAATCCACCTTCGCACACAAACGTGACATTTCCTCAGTATGAAAATTTTCAAAGATACAAGGCACATCTTCTCAGGACAGCATTTCCCCGCGTAAGCCCTCAATCTATTGTTTCTAGTATTAATTTGAGGGGAGATTAAAGGCTGTTTCTCCTCTCCAACTCACACTTACTAATGTTTGCATTTATTTTGCAGCTACAGCATGTCTCCATAAGGACCATAAGGGCACTTTTTGGGCAGGGGACTTCTGGTGGTGAAGCTGAAGCCGTTAAAAATACTCCGTGTGTGTGATGTTCCTCTTTTTCTTTTTCTTTTTCTTTCTTTTTTTTTTTTTTAACAAACAAGTCTTGTGTTTTACAGCTGTTGATCAGATTATTACCCTTATTGTATGTATTCTCCCTCTTTCTTTGGTGGATCAGTGAACAATTCAGAACTAATAATCTTGTCATGGATACTTTATGATCAAATTCCTATAGTTTCTTTCTTTGGAAAACCTTTTGTTGATAAATAAAACATAAATGACATCATATTCTGTTTTTGTTTTCATTATCGTACAAATGCATTTGTAAAAATTAGAAAAATCCCGTAAAAATCTTTATGTTGTAGAGTTTTACAGCTTATGAAGCTAAACTCAAGATATCATCACCAGAGCCTACACCTTTTACTTGGCCAACGAGGCTAGGGGCATCATAAACCTTTTCCTTTTTCCCTTTTTTTTTTTTTTTATAAAAAAAAAAAAATGAGGGCCATTATTACATGTTTTAGATGGCGCAGGAAATGGAGAGGGAAATTCCATGAGACTTGATCACACAAGCTACGGGAGGTCAATCTCACTAACCAGTGACCTTAGCCACTAAGCCGGATTGTAAGGATTTAGGCATATCATAAACTAATAAGCACTTTTTTATGTCATAACATGGAGCTTTCTTTTTATTATCATTTTGATTAAATTCAACCTACCATACACAAGCGAGAACGTAGTGATTGTGGCCGTGTCTTTGACACTCTACATGCCTCCAATGCAATCATCAGCATCGGGCTGAGGGCAACCTGTCTAAACGGTTGATTACAACCTTGCCAGCCTCGGGCTAGAATAAAAAACGACATTGTTCCTTTTCCTTCTCAAGAAATGTCTGAAGCTGAAGCCATTTTTACCTAAGTTCCTGTACTGTGTTGGTAGTCCAAGTCCATTGATGGTCACAGCATGAATTTGATATCACAATAAGTCAAACTATTGAAGGGCTTTCGCACAATCAGTAAAATCTTTGAATTGACAATGTAATTTGGTCAACAGGCTCAATTCTTACCAAAACTCAATATGACTACTGTAGTTGGAAGCACAAGGTATACTTGTTTACTTCCAATTAGCAAAGGTTCAATTCTTGGTTGGCAGCATAACCCAAAATACAGAACAGAAAACACTCGCAGAAAATACAGAACTCTGAACCAGTGTACCAGGTTGAATACAATGGAGAATAAGACCTGACGCTAATGATCAAGATGAAGGCCTCCAGTCTTCGCCGGCATAAATTGCTTGGTCCCCAAGCTCTTCCTCAATTCGAAGCAACTGCCAAAACAGAAATATTGGGCCACTAATTTCAGAAATTCTTCACTTTTCACTTTAATCATGATTCATGACAAGCTGAGAAGGGGTTGGTTCTAAAAGAGCAAAGAAAATGATCGAGAAACAGGAAGCAGAGCAACTGCATTGTAAACTCATTGGAATTTGCAAGCACTGCTCTGGCATACAGATTGTCTGATGTGAAGACGTCAAAGGTTTTATGGGCATTACAAATAATGGGTTACAGAAACCACTCCTAGACAAAGCAGAAAGGCAAAACCAATGTCAATGCTATTATATGAATTATTATATAGATGTTACCAAATCAGTCTGGTCTTTGGAATGCTCCAGTGGTGGCAGGTAAGGAGTTGCATAAGACGAAATCAAGAAAAAAGCAAATAAAGTGTGATTTGAAAAGAAAACCTGGTTGTATTTTGCCAGCCGCTCCCCTCTACAAGGAGCACCAGCCTTGATCTGACTTGCACCAAGGCCAACAGCCAAATCGGCTATAAAGGAATCTTCAGTTTCCCCCCATCGATGTGATGCCACCACTCCCCAGTGAGCATCCTTTGCCAGTTTCACCACTTCAATAGCCTCCGTCACAGTTCCAATCTGATTTATCTGTTTTAGAACAATATATAATTATTAGACAGATTTTTAAATGGTGAATGTGAAGATTCTGAACTTTCAATTTTCAAACATAATTTATCTTCACATAAAAACATTCATTTCTTCCTCCAGCACCTAATTATATTGCTGACTTTTTAAAACAGAGATAATATCATAGCCACCCAAAGATCCTAACAATGAAATAGAAGAATATAAGTGTTGAATCAAAAAATTTAGTTACCTTGAGAATAAGAGAATTACAAGCAGATTCCTGAATTGCCTTTTCAATTCTTTTCAAATTTGAATTCAACAAGTCATCCCCAAGCACCTGCAAAACAACCAATCAGAATAAGCTTTGGTCAAGTATATAAAGGAAAGACATGATATCTTAAACTAAAGAAGATACATATTGAGCTCTAGAGGAAGTTAATTTGTATCAATCAGGTCTTATTAACACCCAGTTGCAGCAAAATTAAACCTGCTTATTTGTTTAATGATTCTATTGGACAAGCTTAAAAGATAACTAACCCACAGAACTTACCACTCACAATTTGAACAAAAAAATAGTTGTTCAAAGATGTATTTTTGGAGGGAGATATTCTACATAAGCCCCCAAAGGGTGATCTGAGTAACTCCATTAATGCTTTATAAGTCATGGATTAACAGTGGCTCCAAGAATGCATTCAAATGGCATAAGCAAAAATGTCAGTAGTAAGTTAAAACAAAACAAACCTGACAAAGTCCAAGAGCACAAAAAACCTTGTTATGTTCCCAGTCTTCCTTGTCAAATGGATCTTCAATCAACACTATGGGGTAATCTATGATGCCAAAGAAGAAAAAGGAAGGCAGAAACATAAAATCACGGTTCAGAGGATGAACCAGAAAAAGGAGAATAAAAGCCATTAATGACAAATTGACATACCACTGCACAGTTCTTTGTACATCTGTATCATATCTTCTCCTGACTTGAAATTTTGCCCAGACCTACTTGGAGATTTAAACTCTAAATCATACTTTGTACCTTTATCAACAAGAATGAAAAACAAAGCCCAGTTGTTATAAGCAAGCAATGTCCATGCAAGAAAGAACTTTGCGGCATTCAAAGTTGCACATAAATGCAAAAGTAACATATTACGGAGACCAGGGCAGAAGATCCTCTCCTCTTAATATCTAATGGCTTATGTTCAAAAGCTGTTGAAGGATGACAAAATGCATTTCTCAAATAACAGCTAAAAATACTATTGAAGTTTTCTCCAACGCTCCATCCCCTTTCTCACATTCTATAATTGCTAGTTGACTAATTTGCAGGAAATTATGCATCACCTATGCAGAACTCAGTAGCAGCAACATCAATCGCTATCTTTATTCTGTCATTGAAACCTGTTCTGCTGATAGCCTCTTTAACAAGATCCAATCCTTCTCTAACACTGCCAGCAAGGAAAAAATCATTTAGCAGTGCTGATTACCTCTTGAAACAAAATAAACTTTATTTCTTTTGTTCAATAGATTTTTAAAAGGGAAAGGAAAGGAGGGAGGGTGCCTGTATTCATGAATAATGTAGAAAATAAAAGTGAGGCACCACTATACAATTAAGCACTTGCCTCAAAATATTTGGAGTCAGACCTCCAACTTCTCCAACATTACATCCACTAGCACCATATCTTTCTGTAATAACAGCCTGCCCTTTTTATTGACAACAATTACAATAAATAAATGAGTGCACTTTAACCACAAATTTTAGAACATTTAATGCATTTAACCAAGAAGTT